ATTTTAAAACAGATGAATGAATGCATGGTAATTTACTGTGAAAGAGGCAATATTCCATAAGTGTCTAAATAATTTGTATTTAATTATACATACCAGTGAGTAATAAATAATACAGAACATTTCCACATATGAATCACCTCAAACTCTTAACCCTTACTTTGCTTTATTTTTTGTCAGGAAAGCTGGTGGACCTTTTGGATTCTTTTTAGACCTTTGAATCCTCTTTGCTATATGAGTAGGGGATATAGACATTGGGGAGAGACAGATGGATGCAACAAGAAGGTGAAAATAGAGTAAGCCAGAAAAGAGCTACAGGAGAGTTGAAAAGCCTTGTTGCATCCCCACGCCAATGGTTACCAAAGGATCAACAGGGTGCTAAAAGCACTCAAGGGAGMGAGAAATGGATGTTTTTTTAGAGAAAGGGTGAATTCAAAGTGATGGAGAGATGAAGCAAGAGCATAAAGGGGGAATAAATTGGCAGGGAAATGTGGATGTGGAGCTTGTGTCTGTCCTCTACTGTCACTCAAGGCTCAGCTTTGCCACTGAGACAAGGACAGACAATAAGGGGGTTGGAAGCAAAGATAAAGGAAAATGGCCCATTATTCCCTTGATCACAAGGAGACTCTGGCCCCTGTAATATTTACTCTACACATATTCTCACGGGAGGTCAGTCGCTATTCTAAGTGCATAAAATGTCAATCCCTAAAAGTCTTTTTTGTCATATTCAGGAGAAGTGGTATTTGATAGTCAGGCTTCGTTAAAGGCCACCGTCCACGATGATAAAGAAGATGCTTTGCCCTTYGTGTTTGTCTTTGATGGATGAAAATCCTCAATTCGACTTTACTGAACCACCATAGCCCGTTTTACTTTTCCTCACAAATTAATTGTCCAGAGTCATTCCAGAGACTTGTTATTGTTAAAACTGGTGAATATGAGGTGCATTTAAATAATATTAAACAGGTTATATCAGGTCCTCTGGACAAGTTTTTCTTTGTTATTGGTAATAATTGTCACTAACAATATGGATGAATACAAAAAGAAAAAAAACCACATGCATTTAAACATTAATATCTTCTTTCTTGAATTATTTAGTTATTTAAAATGTATGTATTTTAGAAATTGGCCTGCTTACACATTTGCTATTCAGCTGAATACAAAATCTGAAGGTGTGCGTAGAGAGGGAAGTGGGTGGTATATTTCTACCGCCCCTATAGGTCACAGATTTTCACAGAATCCAGTCAAATCTGCATCTTGTTGTTTTTCTACTGTGTCCATTCACCTTCACTGCAACAATAACAAACTGCCGATTGGGTTCTACTGTATGCTACCTTTTTCTTCTTTTCAGTCCTCAACAATTGCAAAACTAGCATTTGCATGGATAATAAAACCAATAATATGTTTTGATGTCAAGAGCTCTGACATTAAAGGCACTTTAATTTACTTTCTCAATAAAACAAGCAACTTCTGCATCAGAAGATAAGATAATAAGTTATGTTGTCTACACAGTTACAACTTCCAACACTTCTGTCAAACAGTAGGTGTCACTGCAGAGAAGTTATACAACAACACTTTTGGAATAGCAGAAGAAGAGTTTACAAGGAAAGCTGTCTTACTCACAGAATTTAAACGTACTGACACAATTCAGGACTTAAATCTGCATACAAAAATTTAATTTAACTATGGACAGCAATGAAAGCAGTTCCACTCGTTATTCATATTATTCATAATAATTTAGAATACCTTATAGTATGCCTTATATACAAATTACTGCCTAAATTATAACTCCTGGCAGAATCTCTTCAGCCTATTTGATTAGGCTGACAACCATAAACCCAATGATTTGTGCTGAAGGTAATTACTGTAACTGTCAGTGTCAGTGATGATGCATCACCAATCAGCATGCATCTCCGCTCACTCTGTTTTCTGTCACCTCATTTATTTCTTTAATTTGTCCTCTGAAAATACAAATTCACATGCAGGTTTTTTTCCCCAACCTCTTTTAAATTTATTTTATTATTCTTTTTTCCTGTTTTTGCATGACTTTTTTCATCCTTGCCCTTCAGTCTGAGTCCTTCATGTCTATAGGTCGCCACAGGTGACCAAGTCCTGTGTGTCAACTATATAAAAGTATATGTTTAAGAAGAAAATAAAAATCTCACCTAGTAGTTTTCATAAAATCCCTTTGTGAATAACAGACCCCATGAGACACTCACAGCCTCAGCTGACATGTAATTAAAGGCAGGGGTCACAGGCTGACTGACTCATTTTCATACCGGACGTTTAGAAAGGGAAAACCGACAGGTAGGGTGAGACAAGGTCTTTAAAGGTAGGCAGCTGATGAAATTTTAATGCCCCCACCCCATCTCTACTTACCCCCAGACTGTAATAAATAAATCGGAGACAGAGCCTTCCTTTGCCGCCCAAGAGTGTCGACGAAGATATCCTGGAACCTGAAAAGACTTGAATCCATTACCATAAAGAAACCAAAGAAGCACAAGGCCTATTTAGATATGCTTGACATTTTAGTAAAAGAGAGGAAAAAAGGGAAAGGTGAGGGGTGAGATCAGGGAAATAGCAGTGGCTAACAAAGCATTTCAGCAGACACTTCCAAGAAGACTGTCTGGTTGCTGACAAGCCCCCACCCCACACACACACACACACACACGCACACACATTTGCCCAGCTATATCTTGTGGACATTCCATTGACTTCCATTACATTTCTACAGCCTAAACCTGACCACAAACCCTAAGGCTAACCTCACAGGTACCTACCTGACCCTAAAACTAACCTAAACTCAATTCACACCTTGGTCCTAAACCCAACCCCCAACCCACCAAAGGCATTTAAACCAAATGGGGACTTGACTTTTGTTCCCAAATGCACCAGTTGTACCCAAATGTAGGTATTTTGTCTTAAAATTGCCCCCAAATGTCACCCCCTCCCCACACACACACAAATATATAAATGCACTAAAGTATCAGAAGTTACCAACATTACTGGAAGCAGACACTTAAATTACTCTTTGAATCTTAGCCTCCATGGAGGGAATCTGTACTCCCATTATCTTCATATGAAAGTTTAAATCTAAAATCATTTTATGTTGGAAATTGTGATGCAAAGATGCAGAGTGCTGCAAAGATATCTTTATTTTATTTTCTGGTCATATTTTTCAACCTGTTCAGTTTTCTGTTATACGATTACGTCAAATTATTTGTGAAGAAACGACCAAATCAGGACTTACTAGTTACAATTTGGTTGTCTTTATTCTCCTCTGGCTCTGGGTCAGACTCTAGTTCCAACATGTAATGCGGGATGGACAAGTCTTTCCTTGACATATTTTAATTAATTTGTAAATAAAAAGTTTCTGTTCTGCAACATAGTCGTAAACCCCCAAAAATTAGCCAGTTGTAGAGTATTCAACCATTCCTTTCAGAGAGTTTGATAAAAAAAAACCTTCTAGTGACTGATAAGATCTTTTGGTAATACGCACGCAAACATCAGTTCTTGATGAGCCCTTTGATAGCTGATTAGTTCAAAAATGATCTCTGTGTTATTTGATATGTGTCCTGCTTGAGCTACATGTAGGATATCATCACATGTAAGTGCTGCACTCAGTCAGTACCATCCCCACAAGGAAAACCTAATTGAAGATTTTTATCCCTCATTAAGAACAGCAAAAAAAGCTGCTGTCTCTTCCTAGTTAAGTCATTAGATGTCCTGCCTTCCTGCTGCCTTGTGGTCCTGAAGGACGAGGACTGACTGAAATGAGGAGAAACAAACGGCAGCAGGCACAAACACTTTATTTTGCTCTAGACTTTGATCCCATCACTTGAAAGACTTGGTAGCATGCCACGCCCCAGGTCAGATGTAACTGATTGAGCCAGAGCCATCACTCGTGGCCTTTTTGTCACTGCAGTCACTGGAGGGAAATTTCTCTCGTAACATCAGGCCTCCAATCCGCCCCACACTCAAAGCCTTTGATTTAGAAGAGAGGTTGTTATTTTCTGTRGGTAATTGCGATAAAAGCCAGAGGAGAGCGCTAAAAGCAGAAGGAGGTGAGATACAAGCAAGCATGTGGTTTTTTTTTTTGCTTTCCTTTTTTTTACGTTTCTGCAACATAATTTTACCCAATTTCTCTGTGTTTTACAGGAAGACGATGAAGAGGAGCAGGAAGTAGAGCAAAGAAAAGAAGAAAGAAGAATTGAGCGGATAGAGCCAGTAGGGAGGGCTGACTCTTCACTGGAGCGTTCACCTGTGTTAAGCATAGAGTAAGTGGCCAAACCCCGCCAACCTACACACACACACACACACACACACACACACACACACACACACAC